CAACAAATAGCATGGGTTAAAATTTTGTGTTCCCTCCTGTTAATTTTTGTGTTCCCAGTACGTTCTCTCCTGTTACTAAACTCCAAATATTAGAAAGGGAAGAACAAATTTTAACAGAAAGTATACTTATCATAGAACCACACAAACAATGGATATTAAATTCAGTTAATGAAAGATATTTTGATATGCTATATAATATATATATAAGTAACAAAGAAAAATCCAATCTCTCATTTTATATTGATGGTTCTGTTTTCAATATAGGAAGCAATGATGTTTTAATGGGATCAGGAATTGTACAAATAGAGAACAATAAAATTGTAAATGAGTACAGTGCTGGAGTTTCTCTTTGGCCATCTTCAACCCATACTGAGATTTCTGCTTTTTTACTTGCATTATTAGTTTGCCCTGAGAATGCAAAAATAAATATTTATACTGATAGTCAAACAACAATTAATACATATACATATCTTACACATAATGAAATGAAAAGTATAACAAAAAGAAATTTCCTAAAAATTAAAAACAATTCTTTGTGGGATGTCATCCTTTCAACAATCAATCGTTTTAATTTAAAGGTTAAATTAATTAAAGTAAAAGCACATTCAGGAAACAAATGGAATGAAAAGGCAGATAAATTAGCTAAAACAGGAACAAACAAGTTTCCAATATCCATTAAATTTGATAATTTTAGTTATCAAAAGTATAAACTTATGTGGAACAATTTACCAGTAGATGATCACACAAGATCTTTTATTAAGAAAACGACTGATGCATTCAACTATCAAAATTGGAAAAATTTAAAAAGAAACAAAAATTTTAATAATGAACAATATGAATCTATTGACTGGCAGAGTACTTTTGCTGCATTAAGGGGTCATATCAAAAAACGTTCCTTTCTAACTTCCTTCAAATTAAACAATCAAAAAGCATTTAGAGTAAAAATCTTTCAAAATGAACTCCCAATCATGGAAAATCTAAAAAAAAGACGACCAGATTTATATTCTTCAAGACATATGTGTAAAAGATGTGAAAGATATCCAGAAATATTATCACATCTTTGGAATTGTGAAGAAGTATATGATGTCATTAAAATAATTAGTATCACAATCACTAACTATTTCAAAAAGAAATTAATTAAATATCTTTCTGAAACTAACACTGATACAATTAATATGGTGTTCCAATACTGTATAAAATATTTTAAAACAATCAAACAATTAGAAGATGTTAATGAACACATATATATAGAAATCATCAAAGATAAAAAATTTATCTTATCTGATAAAATATATACATGGGATAATAAAGGTTCACTTGATGATTTACTAAGTGGATATATAACTTTGGATTTAATACAGCAATTATATAAAATTGCAAGATCTAACTCAAAAGCTAGAAAACTAGCAATATCTTTAGCAAACATTGTTAATAAAGAACTATTTGAAAAAATCTGGATTGAACAAAATAACTGGGAAAAAGAATATGGTATTTCAATGAAAAAAAGAAATACAAAAAAAAAAAATAATAATATTGTTAACAGCAATGAAAATAATGTTAACAATATTAACACAAATTTAGTACCAGATTGGATTCTAGTGATAACAAATCATATTAGATTTGGAAAAAATAAACTAGATTTTTATTTTTGTTCATGATACTCCACTGGTATCTTTTAATTCAAAGACATAAAGTGTTAATCTTAATTGTGTGATTAAATCACTTGCTTTATGTAGAGCTTACAGTGGTAATGTTGCATTCTTCTATTTCAATGTAAAATAGAGAGTGAGTTAAGTAGGTTGTAGATTAATTTTGTAACATTTAACAATATGTATGATGTTCCTATTATTAATAAAATTACTTAACATGACAAAAAAAAAAAAAAAAAAACAAATAATAGATGATAATAAAGATACCTCTTGATATTTTTTACAGAGTAATGACAAAAGGTCAATTATACTTAAACATGTCTCTATACTAACATCTTTTATCATCTCTGCTAATTCAATTATGTCAATTTTTTGATAGATTTCTTGTAATGCAGCAGCTTCTGTTGTGGATAATAAATAACGTTGACTTATAGCAAGCAATGATGGATAAATTGGTTTCCAATCTAATAAATTAAAAATTAATTTTAATTATTTCTTTTTTAGAATGATGAGTTGTGGTGATAACTTCCATTCTTTTAATAACTAAACTAGAGTGGCACAAGTGGCGATAACCACCATTATTATGATAAACAATACTTACTCTCTTATCACCACAGCATCAGCCTGTAAGCTTCTTTTTTGATTATATCTAGACATGATTTTTTTTTTAAAGGAAAACTAGAGTAATGACAAGTGGTGGGCAATAACCACCACCACCATCCTTAAAACATTTACCCAGCAAATTCTTTACGATCAGTTTCTTTGCTTCTTTTTCTGATTGAAAAAGACATTTTTTTTTTAAAGAAGTTTGTTATTTGATCGACATGTACACATTTATTATTTATCCTATTGGTTTCTTTTTTTTTGGTAGGACAGATGCGAATTGATGATTTTTTTTTTTTTTTGGAAAAACAATTTATTTTTTGACAGAGCCCAAGGTGACAAAACGTGAGTGTTGTTGTTTGGT